TTATTTCACACGAATTCCGCCCTCCCTCCTACATACACATACACAAACGTGCGCGCGCGAGTAAGCATACATGGACACAAATTAAAGGTGTTTGTTTTGTTTTCATCACTTTATTTCACTCAGGCAGCGAAAAACCTAATTGTGGAGTGTTTTTGCCTGATATAGACAAAGATCTTGCTGGGGAATGTTTTTGCCCAATAAAGACAAAAATCTTGCTGTGTCAAAAATATTAAAAATGAATAAATGAACAAACAAGAAAAATTATGTGACCATAATTCCCCATTTCACGTACTGGTATGTGTATTATCTTTAATTACTTTAAATTCTAAGGTACTTGGTTAGTTGTCAACACAATAAGAATAGTAGGAAAAAAGCGCCAATTATGATAAAAAGCAACAGTGCTTTCATCACCCATGACATAAAACAGAAACTGCCATAACATCCAAAATGCGACATTCATCGCCTCATATCAGTAATATCACCCTTATTGATACTTATGAGTGAATGATAGACATATCAAAAAGATCTAAAGTATACGCAAGTACACAAAGAACCGCATGAAGTCCTCCAAGATACTGAACAAGTCATAGAGCTGTCTGTAACATATGAATCATTAAGAAATATGAATAAGGAACTTGAAGGTAGCAAATTAAATCTTATCCAGAAACATACAACCTTCTTTCGTGATACTACTACTATACTAATGATACTGATAATAAAAATAAGAAAATGATAACAGTTACAACAACAGCTTTTGTAATCTGTAGCTGCCATTTGTGATACAGATGGTAGCAATTGTAATCAAGCAATAATGATAATGATTGTTTTCTAAATAGATATGACTCACATAATCATAACAGTAACACTGATAAACTCCTAAACAACATTAAACACAATAATGGTAGTTGGAATTGCCCTAATGTAACATTGTGTCGTGTCTATAGAGTTCTAGCCAAGGAGAACTTTCCATCCACCCACATCCCCTGGAGAAGTTCCAGTCCCCACCTCCTGTTCCTCTGCTTATTCCCTCACACTTTGAACAAGCCCTTTTCTTCTTTCCTCAAGCTTTTTGAATACCAAAAACTAATCAACAACATGCAAACGAGTACATGAACTTGCTGCACAAGTTGAAAAGTTACACTCATGAACTACAAAGGGCATGGCTTATTTTATCATTACTGAGCAGTCTTTTTCAGTATCCCCCTTGGCTTCCTTGAAAGGTTTCTTGAAGTAGGGCAAGAAATGTTAATTGTTACTAATCTACCCATATCTTTACTGCAATGGTATATGTAAATTAATAGGCTAACTCTATTTCTACTCATTATATGACATACAGTTTCTGGATTTTCTTTTGAATTTTGAATATGACTGCAGGAGACTGGTTTCAACTTGAATGACAATTAAGATTATATGCATACTGAGGCAAGAGAAGAAAAATACAAAATAAAAACTAATGGTCTAAGACATATTTACTTATAAGACATATAATGAATTTCACAAGTAGTCTTACAAAATGAAGTTATAAAATGGATATCAATACACAATATAGTTGCATTCTTTGTACTCTGTCAGTTTTCCTTTTTGGCTATCAACAATACAAGTCCATACACTTCACACAGCCACTAATATATATGTAAAATTTCAACAGATAAGGATAAAGACAATGATGTAATACTGGCCAGAACAAGCAGGCAAATGGCAAGCAGAGCCTCAGGTGAGTGAAGAGTAGAACATATTCTCAGACACATGGAATCTTACACTGTTATGTAACAGTTTGTTCTTCCTTATTTTCTGGATTTTCAGAAACATCTTTTGGTGACTGTGCCATTGTTTTTTTTAGAAAAGTTAAAATATGTTTGGTGATCTTCACCTTAAGAAATCACTTATATTTTCATGGTGCTTTTCAAAACTGAATAAAATGTGCCACTTTTACCTGAACTTTTTTGTAGATCATGTTTTACTGCCAGTCAAAGTTCTATACATAATTCAAAAAGAATGTACAGAGATTCAAAGCAGTAACTCAGGTCTATACAATCACTAACATCTATGGAAATATACTACTGATTTGTTATAAAAAAGAGACAAACATGAATCATAGACTATACAACTATTTAAAACTGAAAAAAATCCCTGAAAGTAATTTGATTTTAAAAATATGCTTAAAATGAAATGCACTCTAAAATATATAATATACTGTACTGTACTTAGAATTATTTTAGACTGGATACTGACAATCTTTTGATATCTAAATTTGGGAGAACTTTCACTAATATGGCTTAAAACAGGTATTACTGAGGCTGATCCTGCTAGTAAATATATATGCTTAAAGCACATCTTTATGATTAACAATAAAATGGACAAGAAAATACATTTGTATAATAAGACACAGAAAATAACCAGGTCATGAAAAATCATTTCAGAGGCATAACTTTGATTTGGTACTACTGTCATCATAAGAAACAATCATATATCAAATAATGGATGTTTTATATATCATAGA